AGTTTTACAGCTCCAAAATCTGACAAGTTTCCAAAATATCGCTTTTCTGTTCTGATTTATTTAAATGAACAATTTTTTTTTTTTTAATCTAATTTTCTTCTCATTCAAAAAGTCTAACTTGTTTGGGAATACTCATGAAACCATTTAACATTTAATAATTTATAACTTAAATGTCAATCTTTATCCAGCAGCTAAAACTGAGGGTGAAAATATGAAATGTACTCAAAAAGATTGAATTAAGTTTTAAAAAAGTTTTAAAGTTGGAGTTAAACATCCACAAAATACATTATAATAATGATTATTCCTGATATGTTTCTGTTTATTGAAATATCCATGAATTGTGTTTTTGGGCCTCATTAGAGACGCTGCTTGAGTTCTTTCTGTAAAGTTAAATTTACAGCACATAATAGAATCCTTATACGTCTAAAATGTGTCTGTTTCTAATATTTCAGAAAAGTTGTAAATATTTAAAACCGTCCACCATAAAACTTTAGTTAGTTTGTAAATTACAGACATGAAAGTAGTTAAAGCTTTTTTTTCATTGGATAAAAATACCCCATTTTTAAATTTTTTTGTATTTAAAAAAATAAAAGTGTTTTTATATCACTGAATAAAACCTGCATTATTATTACTTATAATATAAAGCACAAAATGCCAATTCAGGCAGCATTTGAGTGGCTTTTCTTCCCTCTAAACCAAAGTAAATCTGTTTTTACGCAGCTCGATTTTCACGTCGCAGTTAGAAAATGTGGATTTTCTCTGCTGCTGGAATTAAACAATTCTCACAACAGCATCAGGATGAAGCTGATTACAGAGCAGATGAATGATGGGACAGACAACAGCCCTCGGCATGTCCTTATTTTTTATTTCTCCTTAAACTCTGGAGGCCGAGCGGCTTCAGGGAAACGGGACGAGAGTAAAAAAGCCGAGCAGCAAACGGAGGACGTGATGTCTGAGGCTTCCTTCTGGGTTCAAACCCGTTTCAAACCTGGACAACCCGCCATTTTCTAAAGTTAAACTCAGATAAAACTCAAGTTCAAGGACAGACAACAATATACGGCACAAAATGTGAAAAAATCCATGCAACTGCTTCCAAGCGTTCCATAAAAAATAAAATATAGAAATGAAATGAGGAGAATTGTTCATAGAGTTCCAGCCATTATGGAAAACCTGGACCCATAAAACGTTGTATGCAAAATTAAATTGCTGTGTTGTTTTGTTTTTATGTAATCTTTAGTGCACAAAAAGTTAAACATGTTCCGTTTATGTGTCACTTTGTTACAAGATTACTCAAATTGGAGGATTGGTAAAAAATGAATAAGATCAACTCTAAAAGTGCTACGTGTGATGTAAATGACAGAGGAAAACAACACGCATAGTTAGCTAAAAACAAAGTTATAAAACCGTTTTTTACTCAACCTAGCTCTAGAACACCAGCAAGTATCTCTATCCAACACTTTATAGGGGGCCTAAGGGAGCCTCTTCTCCCTCTATCCCTCTCTCTCTCTCTCTTTTGGCCTCTCTCTCTCAGTGTCAGATGCCCCCTCTCTGGTTCTGTTCCAGGTTTCTGCCTGTTAAAAGGCAGTTTTTCCCTCCCTGTGTCGCCTAGTGCTGCTTTAGGTGGGAATTGTTGTTCTTTTGTAAATAAATAGGGTCTGACCTGCTCTGTTTGGAAATCCGGGAGATTCCTGTTTTCGGGATTTGAAGCCTGGTTCTGCTCCAGGTTTTTGCCTGTTAAAAGGCAGTTTTTCCCTCCCTGTGTCGCCTAGTGCTGCTTTAGGTGGGAATTGTTGGGCTTTTGTAAATAAATAGGGTTTGACCTGCTCTTTTTGTAAAGCTGGGAGATTTCTGTTTTTGGGATTTGGAGCCTGGTTCTGCTCCAGGTTTCTGCCTGTTAAAAGGAAGTTTTTCCTTCCCTGGGTCTCCTAGTGCTTGCCTTTGGTTGGAATTGTTGGGCTTTTGTAAATAAATAGGGTCTGACCTGCTCTGTTTGTAAAGCTGGGAGATTTCTGTTTTTGGGATTTGGAGCATGGTTCTGTTCCAGGTTTTGGCCTGTTAAAAGGCAGTTTTTCCTTCCCTGGGTCGCCTAGTGTTGCTTTAGGTGGGAATTGTTGGGTTTTTGTAAATAAATAGGGTCTGACCTGCTCTTTTTGGAAAGCTGGGAGATAATGTTGTTGGGATTTGGAGCTATAGAAATCAAATTTTAATAAACTTTAATTTAATTGAATCTTTGAGCAGCTTCTCTGCCTCCCGGCCGGACCTCGTTTTCCGGGGCAGACCTGTAAAACGGCGTCTCTGTCGGGTCTTGGCCGGGCAGGTTT